AGTAAATTTTGTTAGACCTCCTAGGTTTGTTTAGCCTTAATGTTTGGTTTTGGATATGGTGGTGAACTTGCTTTATTAAAATTTGAAAATCTATAATGGTCCTAAATCTAATACGACATCATAGCTACTGCTTATGACTATCAATTGGTTAAACAATTTGATTAAAAGGCTAATACTGATTAGTAACAAATGGAATTTTTAATGAAAGTGTTTTATTGTATTTAGCATACAAAATAATAATCAAATGAGAACTTCGTGATTATCAAATCTGGTAATTGGCTAAAGAAAAGGGGTACCCTTAAACACAAAATGAGGTATTTTAAAATACTCTCTCAAAGGTGTGATTTGAATTTTTTATGTTTTGAATGGATTGCTTGATTATTGCTATGTTGAAAGAGTAAATGAACTAGCCTGGCTGATAATAGTGCTAAGTTTAGCTAGCAGCTTAACAAGAATTATGCTTGCTAGAAAAAACTGAGAGCAACTCAAACTGATTCATTGTATTTAGGTGATAAAAAGTAAACTGTCATATAACGAAAGAAATGAATGGCATAAAGAGGCATACATGTCACAAAGATCAGAATTTCGTAATATCCACTTCACATACAAATTTAGGCAGCCTAAGTATGGATTATGAACTTAGAAGTATCATATGTTAAGTAGATCTTCTACATGGATGTATGAATAACTAGAATGCTTGTACGGTTAATGGGGTGTAGAGAATACCAACCTGTGTTGTGATTTAGTGGATTTTGATGGTGATGGCTCGTTGCTGTTTCTGACTTCCTGCCCTTTTTGGATCCTTAGTGCTTCTGTCTTTTTTGGCGCTTAGTGCTTTTAATGCTCTTTGTCTCCCTTTTTGTGTGTTTTTTTTGTTGTTGGTTCTCCCTCCCTCTGTTTGGGGGTAAAACAGCTCCTTATATATGGCTGCCTTTTACTGTTCATACCTGTGTGTTGGCTGCTCCTCCTTTGCTCTTGAAGTGGTAGCCTTAGCCACTTATGTTGTTGGCAATTTGGGATTGGTCCTTGGAGGAGGTGGCCGAAATCTTCTTTTTTAGATTTGGCAGAGACTCTGCTGTTCTGCTGCTCTGCTACTCTGCTGCTCCTTTAGATAAGAATGATGGGTTTGGTTGACGGGGTTGACCAGAGTTGGCCCGGGCTGACCATACTTGATTGGGTTGACCCGGGTCGACCAAGTTGACCAGAGTTGACCAGAGTCAATTGGGCCTGGGTTGTGGGTTTTCATTTTAGGTTGCTCTTCTAACATTTTCTTTTTTTTTTGTTTGCAGGTCCCTAGTCCGTTTCCGGCCCGAAATGATGATCAATGGGGGCCCAAACAGCCCTAATTGGCTAAGCCCCCAATTCTGATTGGTGCCCAAAAGAAAAAGAAGTCCTATTTTATTCATCCTTAATTCCTTATCAAATGTAATAATTATTAGTTGTACATTTGTACTTTGTAATTATGCATGTAATTATTTTTGCGACTTATAATTAGAATGATCGTGTAATTATTGTATGGCCAACTATTCAATTGATTTGCTTCCACCTAGCTTGTTTATTCTTTTTCCTGATCGTGACCCACATCCCAACTTCTTAAATAAGTAGTTCTTGATTATGAATTTCGACCAATATTGACCAATATCAGTAAGTTTAATATGGTCTTACTATCTCATTTGACCAATTTCAAACCTATGTCACTAATCATTAACCGTAATACTAGTATAGTCGTGACGGCATATTGTTACTCTAAATAAAGCGAATTTGGTAGTCATTAGCTACTGCTAATCCTACCTAGTACAGCTATTCGAACTAAACAGAAAGAGGACTTCGAAATTATTGGTACTTATTGATTTGCCACTGCTAATCTCAACCAACCTCGTCCAAACTTTCACTTGGGTTTTCTTTTTAATTTTTAAATGGAATATTCTTCCGAATTTTGAGTAGGATGGTTGCTCCGGACAAAATGTGGTGTCTACAGTTGCCCCCCTTTGTATATCTCTTTGTATAAAGAGTTATACAAAGTTCTTGTAAAGACACCACATTTTCTAAAAGTATCATGATGGTTGTGTTAGGGTCCTTGAAATAGGATGTGATTTGAGGATGATGTTAGGATAGTGAGTTGGTGTGTTTGTATCAGAAAATTACTCGCGTTGACGAACGCTATATAAAAATGTAAATTTTCCATCAGTGGACAATACTTCTTTGATGCTCGACAACGTCGACGGTTTCTTCTGATGCCCGTCAATCATCTTCTGCTATATTTCTTAAGCGCTTGCCAGCTCCGGTTAGGTATTTACTGGTAAGGGCGCTCGTTATCTCTTATGCGTTATTGAATGATAGAGGGGCTCGCCAGCTCCTATGAGGTATTGATTTGGTAGGGGTGCTCCTCAGCTCCCGTTAGGTATTGGATGGTAGGGGCGCTCCTCAGCTCCCGTGAGGTATTAAATAGTAGGGGCGCTCCTCAGCTCCCGTGAGGTATTAAATAGTAGGGGTGCTCCTCAGCTCCCATGAGGTATTAAATAGTAGGGGCGCTCCTCAGCTCCCATGAGGTATTAAATAGTAGGGGCGCTCCTCAGCTCCCGTGAGGTATTGATTTGGTAGGGGTGCTCCTCAGCTCCCATGCGTTGTTGACTGATAGAGGGGCTCGCCAGCTCCTATGAGGTATTGATTGGTTGGGGCGCTCCTCAGCTCCCGTGAGGTATTGATTTGGTAGGGGTGCTCCTCAGCTCCCATGAGGTATTGATTTGGTAGGGGTGCTCCTCAGCTCCCATGCGTTGTTGACTGATAGAGGGGCTCGCCAGCTCCTGTGAGGTTTTGATTGGTTGGGGCGCTCCTCAGCTCCCATGCGTTGTTGACTGATAGAGGGGCTCGCCAGCTCCTATGCGTTGTGGGTGAAGGGTTTTTTTTTCGGCTGCGGTAAGCATACTCGGGAATTTTGTTGCCCCCTCGCGGTATGCGGAGCGGGGTTAGATTTTCTACATTGTCCGTGATAGTCGACGAACAAGTTTTAGAAGGAGGGATTTCATTTGCTCGTGAAAGCCGACGAAACAAATTGACTTGGTTTTCTAAACTGGCCGTGATAGCCGACGGAACAACTTCGAAAGGAGGTTTTAAATTTGCTCGTGATAGCCGACGAAGCAAATTGACAAGGTAATTTTTGCCTTGCCCGTGATAGTCGACGGAACAAGTTTAGCAGGGGTCTAATTTGCTTGTGATAGACGACGAAACAAATTGATTAGGGTTTTTTAATTGCCCGTGATAGTCGACTGAACAAGTTTAGCAAGGGGTCTAATTTGCTTGTGATAGACGACAAAACAAATTGACTAGTTAGTTTCTAAATTGCCCGTGATAGTCGACGGAACAAGTTTAGCAGGGGATCCAATTTGTTCGTGATAGTCGACGAAGCAAATGGACTAGGTTTTCTAAATTGCCCGTGATAGTCGACGGAACAAGTTTAGCATGAGGGTTTTAATTTGCTTGTGATAGTCGACGAAGCAAATGGACTAGGTTTTCTAAATTGCCCGTGATAGTCGACGGAACAAATTTAGAAGGGGTTTTTTTTTTTTTTTTTAATTTGCTCGTGATAGTCGACGAAGCAAATTGGCTAGGTAATTTTCATTTGCCCGCGATAGTCGACGGAACAAGTTAAAAAGATGGTCTAATTTGCTCGTGATAGTCGACGAAACAAATTGTCTACGATTCCTAAATTGCCCGTGATAGTCGACGGAACGAATTTAGTATGGGGGTTTTAATTTGTTCGTGATAGTCGACGAAACAAATTGACTAGGTAATTTTGAATTGTCCGTGATAGTCGACGGAACACGTCTATTAGAGGGCTCGCGATTGTTTGCCAGCACCGATATTGTATGTTCATGGTATTTGTTTGGGACGTTCCTAAACCGTTGTTATGGCTTGTCATAAATGCACGTGAAAGCTAAACATGAGACTTGAAAAATTCACGTGAATGTAGTTGGTGTATCTTGTAGTGATTCCTTTTTACAAACATTAGAAATCCAACTAAAGGTATGAGTTCTTTTGGGAATTGCTGGCAATAAATGCATGACCCATTTTAACATATGATGTTGTTTAAGGAGTATCAAAATGATTTTGAGAATGATTTTGTGATGTGTCATGCTAATGAAGTCATGAATACTTAGTAAAAAAAAAATGATATGATGCATTTGGCAACTGTTATGAGAATATGTCGTTTTGTTTGGTTTTTGTTTTGCATTTTAACCCGGGGTTCCTTTAAATTGCTCATCCTCCAGGGATCGTCATTTCCTTTTGATCGACTTAATCTTTGGTTCTCCTTATGTTGGAGAGATTTTCAGCTTGCTTGCTTGAAGCTTATCTTCGTGGTGGTATTGTATGAGGGTATACTGATGGTGTATATTGCTTCATTCTTCTTGTCGGTCACGCTTGGACCCTCATGCTTTAAAGTTGTGTATCTCTTGGAATGTGCAGTATAGTAGGACTTCCTTCTTGCTGTGCAGTTGATTGGCTGGTTGGCTTGATGAGATATGAATGTTCTCGGGAGATTTTCTCGTCAACTCATGAGTGAAAGTTGATTAATTTGATTCTTGGGTACTCAGACTTCCCCTTATTTCATGGTGTACCAGTTTTGCCTCCAAAGATCTGTTGCCCACTTTCTATTCTCCGGAACAAAGAGTGACTATATCAATCTGTACTTAAGACGAAAGCAAAAATGTTTGAAAAACGTTTGTTAGAGAATTAAAAATTGAAAGCCATGTCAAGATTTTGGTTTCGAGAAGTGTGTGTAAACTGGAGAAAACCGTTTTTGTGTGGTAGTTGTCATATTGCCAAATTTGGTTTTCTAAGAGAAATGTAAGCCAAACCATGAGAATATCAGTAAGCCCTCGCTCTCACTCTTGCTTTTGATTTTGATCGCTCTCACTCCCGCTTTGGATTTCGCTCAACACTCATTCCTATAGGTGATTTGAGTGTACGATACTTCAGCTACCATTAAGATTCTGGTCACCTTGAGATGTCCCCTTTTATGTTGGTGGCCAACAGGATCCCAACTGCGTTCCTTGTGAAGATTTACTCAATATGGAATCCCTTGACGTAATTGATTTAGGAGACTTCCATATGGCATTGTCGTAGACGGTCTTGATCTCCAATGAAAGGGCTTTAGTCCAATATGACTTTGATGGTAGGCGTCTTCTTGAAGTGTGGTTTATTCAGATGGGTGACAGATAAGTCATATTTTGATATCACCCCTAAGACTTCTTGTAGAGGGATTCTGGTTTTGCCCCCACTGTATGAGATTGACATGACGGGTTGAGAACCACTACTATCCCGGTCTCTTTTCGGCGAAGATTTGTTTGAAAATGTCGCCAGTCTTGGGCATATTTGAGGGAATGTGGTGTTTGGCTGGTTTTGCCCCCTGTCTTTGAGACTAGGGTTTCAAGGGTCGTGGTTTTGAAGTTTTTGCGAATGTAATCTGGTTATGGACTTGTCAAGGTTTTTGTTTGACCTCTAAATGTGGGTTGTGGTGGAGCTTCAGCTTCTGACTTGCTCTCAAAATGATGAGTATCTGGGACGAAGTGATTTTGGCCGAAAAGGCTTTCTTATCATCAAAGTTTACTGCTTGAAGGTCCTTCTTGCCGTATCTTGAAATTGGTCGGGCAAGACTTTGGCTTGGTGCAGAAAGTTGGTACTTCAAAAGTTAAATAGGGGCACCTAATTTGTAAGTCCCACAACATTTTTCTTCTTCTTTTTTCTTTTTTCCTTTTTGTTCTTTTTTCCTTCTTTTTTTTTTGGTTTTTTTTTTTGGTTTTTTTTGTTTGTTTGTTTTTTTCGTGTGGGACTTACTTGATTTTGTTATGCCCCCATCTATGCTTCTTTCTTCCTCGATCTGTTATTTGTCTTCGGTGGGACGAGTAGTGAAAGGAACGAGAGTCTGTTTTGATGATTGATCGTGTGGGTGTCGCTTCTCGTTAGCTAGGTTGAATTGGCTATTCTTTTCTGTAGAAGTGAGGATTTCGATGCCATGTGCTTGTTTGTATAGATGAGTGCTTCACTCAAGTGATTCTTAGGTTTTGATAAATGAGATCCCTGAACTTCCCGGTCTTCTTGTCACGGAATATTGTGAGAGATTCATGTCTGTAATGTTGTGTCCCTTGTACGTCGAGATTTGGCTATTTGAGTTCATGTAAGCTGAGTCTCAATTTGTTGGCGAAAGTCAAATGTAGTGGTGACGAGATTCTACAAGTAGCATGACGTCGTATGCTCATTACACCTTTCTACTATTAGCTCACGTAATTTATGAACGCTAGTAGGGTGTTTGTTTCTTGATTTTAGTTGATCATGCACACCCTCAACACCAGTGGGTGCTCAAAATATTGACAGTGGCAGGGTGTTTATAATCACTCAACACCAGTGGGGTGTCCCAAATCTCAGCACCAGTGGGGTGCTCATAATTGCTTATCATGGCAGTCTCATGGCTTAACTTCGAAAATAAAGTCGGCTTTGGATGGCTACCATTTTTTTAGAAGATAAATCCGTTTTAAAAAAAAGGACCTGTAGTGGCATTCGTTATTTTGATAAAAAAAACCATTGATGGGAACTCTCAAATTAAGATTGATAATGGTCACGCAATGCTCCGAAAAGGTCGAAACGTGAAAGATCTTTTATTCATGATGACGAAAGCAAAAGTGATACATATTTTGTTATGGCAAATGATCTCGATATTTTATTTACTTTGGTAGACTCGACATCATCATAATCGAGTTTTGCCTTGTAGTACGCCCACTAATTCTCATGTGTTGGCAGTGAATCCCTGTTGACGTCTGGGCGTTTTGGCTCTTCTTCGAACTTCAACCAACCAGCTTTTACCATCTCTTGAATCCTTATCTTCATAGCGTTACAATTTTCCACAGAGTGCCCTTGGACTCCGGAATGGTAATCACATTGCTTATCGAACCTATACCATCTTGGATATGGAGGTCGTAGAGCCTCACCCGGAATAGGAGCGATTAGTCGTTCATGGAGTAACTGAGGGAAGAGTTCGGTATACGTGATTGGGATTGGATCAAATACCCTTTTTGCTTTCCTTGGCATAGTGACATCTCGGTTAACACCTTGTTGTGGTACCGGTAGTGGGATTTGATTTGCTGGTGTCACGAAGTTCAGAGGTCGCAATATTGGTGTGGTTGTTGCAACATAAGAAAGAGCATGATTCTTTTGAAAGTGACACTTCCAGATATTCTCTTCTGCTTCCACCTGGGTTGACAGTAGTTTTCCTTTATTTCGTACCCTTTGGTTTGCCCTCTCATCCATTTCGTGATTCTCTAACTTCCCTTGTCCGATGCAGATCACACGTTCTTCAAGCCTTTCTGATCTTCGCGGATTGTCACATTTTGATTGTTCTGCATCATGCACATTCTTTGAGAGCAGGAGTGGAGTCTTATCATTTGACGTTACTTTGTTGTGCGGTTGGTATAAAATTTCTTTGCCAAATGGCGCATCTCCATTTTTCGCTTCCATTGTCCTCTCAATTTTTGACAGAATCCTCAAAATTGTGCTAACATCCTCTTTCACTTCTTCAAGCCCAATCACTCTTCTCTTGATGTCATTTAAATCCTTCTGAAATGCCTCCATGACAAACTGAGCCTCGGATCTTGTCGAGTACTTAAGGATTTGATTTTTCCTTGTGGAGGAGCAATTTTAAGAAAACCTGATTTTTTCTTAACATTGTTAAATTTATTCTGTTCTTTATACGTATGCATGATGCTTATGCAAAAAATGCAATGATGCATGAATGCAAATACGATTTTGAGGGGTGTATATGTTTTGCAAAAATATTTGTGTGACCAATTTTGAATTATTGAATGAAAGTTTTAAGGAAAATATAAAGATATGGGTTTTTAAAAAACCTTTCACGCCAGTTAAGTAAAAGACAGAACATAACATATCATATCAATAACAAACATACATTTATATGATAGAAAGAATGTCATCCTAATTAGGTACACCTATGGCTTAGGGAGGCGTAATGACTTGGTTGTAGGGTGGCATTTGGGATTATTTTGGACTGTTTAGGGAGGCTTCTATGCTTACTATATGCTGGCAGAGGAATTTCTAGGAATTTGGCTCCCAAGTTGTATCTTGCCGTAGCCCTTTCAAACTGGCTGGATACCTCGAGATCATCCTCGGATCCGAGTTCAACTTGGTTAGAAAGTTTTGCGCGACTACCACTACTGTGGATGTCACGGTACTCCTTTCAATTTTCTAAAAGGATAGCTCGGGTATAGAGCTTTTATGCATGAATGCAGAATTTAATTGCGAAAATATAATTGCGGAAATAATAGCGTAAACACCCAACACGTAATTGAAATTTAGAAGAACTTATCGAACTTAGTTATGTAGCTCGACTCTCGAATGTCCCCAGCGGAGTCGCCAACTGTCGCAACCGTCCCGTCCGGGGGGGTCCGATGTCGTCGCGTCGGCGTTTTTTGGGAGTCGCCATCGATCTTACTTGGAGTGGATCGAACACTCTTCGGATCGGCTCTAACCTTAGTGTCAGAACCGAGGCATGGTCTGCGAAAATAAAGTTCTGGGTTCGGGAGTACGGTTACGTGTGGGGAAGTGAAATCACACCCCACAACGCCCTAAATCGGTACTACTTAAGTCGATAAGTTTTTATGCGAGTTGGGTGTATTTTAGTAATGATTTTGTAATTTTAGGGTCCCACTGGACCATTAAAAAAAAATTAAATCGTATTAATTGTAATTTAATTGTACGCCCACTAACGTAAAAGATAAAGTTAATTGGTTAGTTGGACTCGAACCTTATCGGTTGCCTACGTACCCGTTAGACGGGATCAAAGTCCACGTAGTTCGTTTGAACTTTGATAGTTTAATTGTGACATTTTCATCACGTTCCACTGATCGTGATTTTCGTATTATAATTTATGTTAATAAAATTTAATTTGATTATTATGAAATTATGAAAAGAGAATTTAATAATTTAAGTTATTAGGAAGAGGCTTGACTCGTATTGGAAAAGAAACGAGATAAACTTAATCCGCATTTACCATTTCGTATTAAGAACTATAAACAAATAAAGTTAAGCGGGATGGATAATTTAGCATATGATTGTCGGCAGCCCAACTGGTCAAACCGCTAGCCTCCTCTGACCTAGAGACCGCGGGTTCGAAACCAACTGAGTGCGATTTTTTTGATTTTTTTCGTTTTAGTGTGGGGATGGGGGAAGGGCATTCTAGTAATTGCTCGAAAACACGGTGGCACGGCCGCGTAATTAACGATAAACCCTAGGGGTATTTTGGTCGTTGTAATCGATGGGGTATATATACTTTCTAAAGAAACCCTAATCAATCTAAAGAGAGGCGGCCGCCCTCTCTCTCTCTCGTCCATCTCATTCTTGCCTCTCTCTCTTCCTCTCGATCCTTCCACTTCTCTCTTCCTCTTCCAGAAAAAAAAACCAAACCCTAGCCGAACAAAAACCGCCGCCCTCTCCTTCCTTTCTTCTCCCGCGTCCAGAGAACCCAAACCCTAGCCCCGATCTCGTGCCGCCGCCTCTGCTCTCCTCTCCCTCTCTCTCTCTCTCGACGAACAGAGAAGATGGGGCGCCCTCTCTTCTTCTTCCTTCCATACCAGAAAACCCAAAATCGAAACCAAAAAAAACAGCCGCCTCTCTCCCTGTTCGATCCGCCTGAAAGGCCGCTCACACTAGACGAAATCAACCGAGATGGCCTCGATCTAGGTAAGATCGAAACATTTTTTATTTTTGGTTTCTGATTATTGTTTGGATTCTACTAATTTCCTTCTCGTTTTCCTTTTTTATTTCCGGGGAAATTTCTAGACCGAGGGCTCGGCGGCGGCGATTACGGCGAGGGTAAGGGACAACTCCCCTTGGTTTGCATGTCGATTTTTGCGAGTTTTTGTTTGATTTTAGTTCGAAAACCGGGTTCTGACTTTCCGTTTTACCGGCGATGGGGTTTATTCTGGGTGAGATTTTGTTTGCGTGTAGGTTTTCTTTTGATTTTTCTATCTCAGAAACCGGGTTCTGATCTTTGGATTACATTTTCTTTTGTTTTTACGGTTTATGGTTTTGGATCTCTGCCGAGGGAGGGAAGGGAAGGCGGCGGTCGCCGGCGGCGCGGCCAGCGCCAGAGCCGACGGCGAGGGTTTTGTTTGGGGGTAAGTTATTTGTTTTATTTTTCTGTTCTCGTTTTTTACCTATTATCATTTTTGGGGTTCTAACTCTCGATTTCCTAATTTTTTGCAGATCTTATTCAATTTGAAAGAAACTAGGTGATACCTCTTCTAAACCTAAAATGGGTGGTTTAGTTATCGTTATAATTGTTTATTGAACTTTCTGGTGTTGTGAAAGTAAATTTTGTTAGACCTCCTAGGTTTGTTTAGCCTTAATGTTTGGTTTTGGATATGGTGGTGAACTTGCTTTATTAAAATTTGAAAATCTATAATGGTCCTAAATCTAATACGACATCATAGCTACTGCTTATGACTATCAATTGGTTAAACAATTTGATTAAAAGGCTAATACTGATTAGTAACAAATGGAATTTTTAATGAAAGTGTTTTATTGTATTTAGCATACAAAATAATAATCAAATGAGAACTTCGTGATTATCAAATCTGGTAATTGGCTAAAGAAAAGGGGTACCCTTAAACACAAAATGAGGTATTTTAAAATACTCTCTCAAAGGTGTGATTTGAATTTTTTATGTTTTGAATGGATTGCTTGATTATTGCTATGTTGAAAGAGTAAATGAACTAGCCTGGCTGATAATAGTGCTAAGTTTAGCTAGCAGCTTAACAAGAATTATGCTTGCTAGAAAAAACTGAGAGCAACTCAAACTGATTCATTGTATTTAGGTGATAAAAAGTAAACTGTCATATAACGAAAGAAATGAATGGCATAAAGAGGCATACATGTCACAAAGATCAGAATTTCGTAATATCCACTTCACATACAAATTTAGGCAGCCTAAGTATGGATTATGAACTTAGAAGTATCATATGTTAAGTAGATCTTCTACATGGATGTATGAATAACTAGAATGCTTGTACGGTTAATGGGGTGTAGAGAATACCAACCTGTGTTGTGATTTAGTGGATTTTGATGGTGATGGCTCGTTGCTGTTTCTGACTTCCTGCCCTTTTTGGATCCTTAGTGCTTCTGTCTTTTTTGGCGCTTAGTGCTTTTAATGCTCTTTGTCTCCCTTTTTGTGTGTTTTTTTTGTTGTTGGTTCTCCCTCCCTCTGTTTGGGGGTAAAACAGCTCCTTATATATGGCTGCCTTTTACTGTTCATACCTGTGTGTTGGCTGCTCCTCCTTTGCTCTTGAAGTGGTAGCCTTAGCCACTTATGTTGTTGGCAATTTGGGATTGGTCCTTGGAGGAGGTGGCCGAAATCTTCTTTTTTAGATTTGGCAGAGACTCTGCTGTTCTGCTGCTCTGCTACTCTGCTGCTCCTTTAGATAAGAATGATGGGTTTGGTTGACGGGGTTGACCAGAGTTGGCCCGGGCTGACCATACTTGATTGGGTTGACCCGGGTCGACCAAGTTGACCAGAGTTGACCAGAGTCAATTGGGCCTGGGTTGTGGGTTTTCATTTTAGGTTGCTCTTCTAACATTTTCTTTTTTTTTTGTTTGCAGGTCCCTAGTCCGTTTCCGGCCCGAAATGATGATCAATGGGGGCCCAAACAGCCCTAATTGGCTAAGCCCCCAATTCTGATTGGTGCCCAAAAGAAAAAGAAGTCCTATTTTATTCATCCTTAATTCCTTATCAAATGTAATAATTATTAGTTGTACATTTGTACTTTGTAATTATGCATGTAATTATTTTTGCGACTTATAATTAGAATGATCGTGTAATTATTGTATGGCCAACTATTCAATTGATTTGCTTCCACCTAGCTTGTTTATTCTTTTTCCTGATCGTGACCCACATCCCAACTTCTTAAATAAGTAGTTCTTGATTATGAATTTCGACCAATATTGACCAATATCAGTAAGTTTAATATGGTCTTACTATCTCATTTGACCAATTTCAAACCTATGTCACTAATCATTAACCGTAATACTAGTATAGTCGTGACGGCATATTGTTACTCTAAATAAAGCGAATTTGGTAGTCATTAGCTACTGCTAATCCTACCTAGTACAGCTATTCGAACTAAACAGAAAGAGGACTTCGAAATTATTGGTACTTATTGATTTGCCACTGCTAATCTCAACCAACCTCGTCCAAACTTTCACTTGGGTTTTCTTTTTAATTTTTAAATGGAATATTCTTCCGAATTTTGAGTAGGATGGTTGCTCCGGACAAAATGTGGTGTCTACAACCATAACTCGTCCCGCCCGACGGCCATTGCCAACAAGCTGTAGTTTGCTGTGGCAACTCGCCCACTTCCTTCGCTTGATGATCAATATAGTCTTCCAGATATACTTCGCTCGAAACGCAATTTCGTCCTCCAAAAGTTTGACGTCGTTGAATAACTAAGCATTTCGTTCTTTCCACAAGAACTAGAGCAACACACTCCAATGCACCACCTCTTCCTCCGCTATCATATGCTGAATGGATAAACTATAGTTAAACATAAATCGAATGAAAATTTTAATAGAAGAACATGTTTGATAATATTCACATAGTAAATGAATAATGTTTATATCAAACATAACAAAAATGTTTAAAAGAATGCATAAT